GTGAGGGGGGAAAAACGGGCGGGAAAACGTGAGGGGTGAAAAGATGGGGACTGTGAGGGGAGAAAATGGAGAGAAACGTGAGGGGAAAGGAGTGGAGATGTGAAGAATTAAAGGTCAGAAATAGGAGGGGGAAAAGGGTGGGAAATTTGAGGGTGAAAAGACGGAAAATGTGAGGGATAAGAGGCAGGAAATGTGAGGGGGAAAGGGGTGGGAAAATATGAGGGAAAAAGGGGGAAATGTGAGGGGAAAGGAATGGAGATGTGAAGAGTAAAAGGTGAGAAATATGAGGGGGAAAATGGTGGGAAATTTGAGAAGAAAAGGTGGTGACGTGAAGGATAAAAAGTGGGAAATGTGAGGGGGAAAAAGGGCAGGAAACGTGAGGGGAGAAAAGGGCGGGAACTGTGAGGGGAAAAAATTGAGAGAAACGTGAGGGGAAAGGACTGGAGATGTGAAGAATAAAAGGTGAGAAATATGAGGGGGAAATGGTGGGAAATGTGAAAGGAAAAGGGCGGAAAATGTGTAGGAAATGTGAGGGGGAAAGGAGTGGGAAATATGAGGGGAAAAGCGTGGAGATTTGAAAGGAAAATGGTGGGAAATGTGAGGGATAAGAGATAGGAAATGTCAGGGAAAAGAGTGGGAAAGGTGAGGGGAAAAGGGTGGAGAGGTGAAAAGAAAATGGAAAATGTGAAGGGAGAAGAGAATGGGAAACGTGAGGGGAAAAAAGTAGAGACATGAGGGGACAAGATTGCAGAAACATGAGGGGAAAATGGCAGGTAAGATGTGGGAGGAAATTGGGAAATTTGAGTGGCATACATGAGGGTAAAAGTGCTGGAAATGTGAGGGGAAAAAGGGCAGGAAAAATTGGGAAATGTGAGGGGGAAATAGTGGGAAGCATGAGGGAGATAATAGTGGCAAATGTGATGGATAAATAGGGGAAATGTGACAGGGGAAAGATGGCAAAAAGGTGAGGAGAAAGGGTGGAGAAATTTTAACAAAACCATGGTTTTATTTAAACTGAAGGTCCGAAAAATCACCTATTAGTTTTTACTCTAAGACTAAACCCTGAAAACAGCTAAAAAAAACCAGGTTTATCTTCAAATTTACAATTCTAACCTCTCTTCTTAATTTGGAAGGGTTTCGCCTTAAATTAAAGGCTAAAAACTGTGAAAAACAGAATTGTCTTTAAATTCAAATCCTTAAAATTCACCCAGTAGTATGGGGAGGGGGCAGCCCGTAAAAATAAACACTAAAAACAATTAAAAATCCCACGATTCTCTTTAAAATTTATTCTTTAAAATTTAGAGCCTTATTTAGAAAAATCATTCCCTAAAATTAAACTCTAAAAATTAAGAATTTACCTCAATTTAAGCCCCTTTAGTTGCGCGTTGGAGCCTTTAAACCCCGCCCCCCATGCCACGCCCACATCAACCATCACCATGGCAACGACGCGGGGCGTAATGTAACCTCGCTTCATTAGCATACATTAGCATATGGAAATGGGCGTGTTCACTACGTTTCCCAGCGTGCCCCGCGCGTTGAGGCCACGCCCACGGCCGTGACCTTGTGTGAGGGGNTGCCAAAAACCTTTTGCTGGCCGGCCCATGATCGAGTGCAGCCAATGTGGCACCTGGATCCACCTGTCCTGCGCCAAGGTGAAGAAAAACAACGTCCCCGACGTCTTCTATTGCCAAAAATGCCGTGAGGGTCCTCGCAGGGCCACCCCCGCCACCCCCCGGGCCACGGGCGACTCCTAAACCCCCCAAAAAATGGAAATTTTGGGGCTCCCCAGCCAGGGTTTGTGCTCAAAATCGGAAATTTTGGGGTTGCCGCCTTCCCTGGGGTTTGAAGGTTTGGAGGTTCCTTCCCCTAAAAATGAGAAGTTTGATCCAACCCCAGTTGTCAAAATTTGGAATTTTGCAAGGGGTTGGATGTCACCCTAGAATTGTGAGGTTCAAACAGATTTTGTTGGAGATTTTGGGGTTTGTGGCTCTCCCCTAGAACTGGGAGGTTTGAGGGTTGGAAGGTGCCCCAAAATTGGAGATTTTGGGGGTTTGGAACCTCCCCTAACCCCCTCCCCAAATTGTGAGGGTTTGTAAAAGCCCTGAAATTGTGAGATTTTGGGTCCAGCTCCCTCAAAAATGGGGAGGTTTGGGGGGACTTTTACCCACTCCCCCATGAGTTGTGGGGTTTTGGGGGTTCTGGTTAAAATTTGGGGGGGGTTTTGGGGTCCCTCATCTGCAGGACAGGAGGGTTTTGGGGTCCCGTTTTGGGGTACAGGATTTGGGGGGGCTCTTACCCCAAATCATGAGTTTTTTTGGGTCCCCCACCCCCAAGATGGGAAGATTTTGGGGGGACGGGGGAGTTCCCTCACCCCAAATTAAGACTGGGGGAGCCCCCCCTTAAATAGGGGAGGTTTGGGGGGTCCCCTACCCCAAATTATGAGATTTTGGGGTCCCCCACCCCTAGGAAAGGAGGGTTTGGGGGTCCTTTACCCCAAACAAAAAGATTTTTTTGGGGAGTCCCCCTAAAATAGGGGGATTTTGGGGGTGTTCTTTGCCCCAAATCATGAGATTTTGGGGTGTCCCACCCCCCAGAAAAGGAGAATTTGGGGGCCCCACACCCCCAAGTAAGATTTGGGGAAAACTCCCCTAGGAGAGGAGGTTTTGGGGTCCCCTACCCCAAAATAAGAGAGTTTTGGGGTTCCCTGCCCCATGTTATGAGGTTTTGGGGTCCCAGTTAAAATTTTGGGGACCCCACTAAGTTCAAGGGGTTTTGGGGTTTTTTAACCCCCTCCCCCCCCCAGGGCACGAAGTTTGGGGGTCCTGTACCCCAATTCATGAGGTTTTGGGGTGTCTCAAGCCCTGAATTGGGGAGGGGGATTTGGGGGTCCCTCCCCCCAAACTCTGAGGTTTTGGAAACAAGTTTTTTCATGTGTGTTATTTTTCTAAACGTTCCCTGCACCCCCACTTTTTTGGGGGGGGCGCCCCCCAAGTTTCTGGGGGTGTTTCGAGCATTTTTGCAGGGGGGGCACCCCCAAAACAAGAAGGGTCTGTCCCAGTTTGGGGGGAGTTTAAGGGGGGGATTTGGGGGATTCCCCCCCTAAACCTCCCCCAGTTGGAATTTGGGGGGCGCCCCCCTCCCACCTTTTATTCCTTTTCCCTCTTTGTTTGAAGGATAATATTTTGGATTTTGGGGGGCTGCAGCCCCTCCCGTTGTAAATAAACAGCGCCGTTGCTTCGTACCTGGGCGGGGTTCGTGTCTGTCTGTCCGTCTGCTGCACCCCAAAACCCCAAAAGGAGCCCCCGAAATGTGAGGGGAAAATGGAGGGAAAACGTGAGGGGAGAAAAGGGCGGGAAATGTGAGGGGAGAAAAGGGCGGGAAACGTGAGGGGAGAAAAGGGTGGGAAAACGTGAGGGGAGAAAGGGTGAAGATGTGAAGGATAAAAGGTGAGAAATGTGAGGGGAAAATGGTGGGAAATGTGAGGGGGAAAAGGGTGGGAAATGTGAGGGACCGAGGGTGAAGACGTGAAGGATAAAACGTGAAAAATATGAGGGGAAAATGGTGGGAAATGTGAGGAGGAACAGGGTAGGGACATGAAGGATAAAAGGTGGGAAATGTGAGGGGAAAAGGTCAGAAAATGTGAAGGATAAGAGACAAGAAGTATGAGGGGGAAAAGACTGGGAAATGTGAGGGGAAAAGGGCGGAGATATGAAAGGAAAATGTGAGAGGAAAAAGCAAAAAACGTGAGAGACAAGAGGTAGGAAATTTTTAAGGAAAAGTGAGGGGGAAAGGGTGGAGAGGTGAAAAGAAAATGCTGGGAAATGTGAGGGGAGGAAAAGGGTGGGAAATGTGAGGGTAAAAAGTGGAGACGTGAGGGGACGAGATGGCAGAAACATGAGGGGAAAATGGCAGGTAAGATGTGCGGGAAAAGTGGGAAATGTGAGTGGCAAACAGGGGAAAGGTGCTGGAAATGCGAGGGGGGAAAAGGGCAGGAAAAATTGGGACATGTGAGGGAAATAGTGAGAAACATGAGGAGAAAAATGATGGAAAATGTGATAGGGGAAAGATGGTGAAAATGTGAGGGGAAAAAGGTGGAGACATTTAAATAAACCCAGGGTTTTACTTTAACTGAAGTCGCTAAAAATCACCCATTAGTTTTTTCCCCCTAAAACAAAACCCTGAAAACAACAAAAAAAATCCAGGTTTCTCTTAAAATTTAAATCTCTTACAGCACCTGTTAATTTGAGAGGGTTTCGCCTTAAATTAAACTCTAGAAATGATGTAAACAGACTTATCTTTAAATTCAAATCCCTTAAAGACGTCCATTAGTTTGGGGAGGGGGTGGTCTCTTGTAAAAATAAACCCTAAAAACAGCGAAAACCCCCAGAATTCGCTTTAAATTTTAATCCCTAGAAATCTTAATTTAGAAAAAGAGATGCCTAAAATGAAACACTAAAAATATAAGAATTTATCTCAATTTAAGCCCCTTTGGTCGCGCGTCCAAACCTTTAAACTCCGCCCTAGGCCACGCCCACATCAACCATCACCATGGCAACAACGCGGGGCGTATTATGCCGGCGCTTCATTAGCATA